AGCAAGCTAATATATGTAGATACGATTCAATGAATGTATTAACGTGGATTATAGATAATACACAAGCAAGCTAATATATGTAGATACGATTCAATGAATGTATTAACGTGGATTATAAATAATACACAAGCAAGCTAATATATGTAGATACGATTTAGTGAATGTATTAACGTGGATTATAAATAATACACAAGCAAGCTAATATACGTAGATACGATTCAGTGAATGTATTAACGTGGATTATAATAATACACAAACAAGCTAATATATACTCAAAAGCTATACTCAAAAGTTATTTATTAATAATCCACGTTAATACATTCACTGAATCGTATCTACATATATTAGCTTGCTTGTGTATTATTCATAAACCGTGTTAATACATTCACTGAATCGTATCTACGTATATTAGCTTGCTTGTGTATTATTTATAATCCACGTTAATACATTCATTGAATCGTATCTACGTATATTAGCTTGCTTGTGTATTATTTATAATCCATGTTAATACATTCACTGAATCGTATCTACGTATATTAGCTTGCTTGTGTATTATTTATAATCCATGTTAATACATTCATTGAATCGTATCTACGTATATTAGCTTGTTTGTGTATTATTTATAATCCGTGTAATACATTCATTGAATCGTATCTACGTATATTAGCTTGCTTGTGTATTATTTATAATCCACGTTAATACATTCATTGAATCGTTTCTACGTATATTAGCTTGCTTGTGTTTTATTTATAATCCACGTTAATACATTCACTGAATCTTATCTACACTTATGTCTTATACTTCAAGTTGTGGAAAGTGAATTATCCATCGTAAGGTTTGGTTGAAAGTAGTCATGATCTTGATGACTTATGTCTTATACTTCAAGTTATGGAAAGTGAATTGTCCATCGTAAGGTTTGGTTGAAAGTAGTCATGATCTTGATGACTTATGTCTTATACTTCAAGTTGTGGAAAGTGAGTTGTTGCTGAAGCGATGATCTTTCAGTTAGTTACTTGCACCCAAAGAACGACAATTGTTCAACAAATTGAAAAGTTAAATTTTCTGTAAACGTTTTCGCCATAAGTAAGGATATAAATAGATGTTATGACATAAGATATACTCTACGTTTTGTGAAATATTCTAACATTATAATGTAAGTATTAAATGAACTGGATAAAGCGACATAGTTTGAAAACTGTTTGTGGCCAAACAATGATTTCTTTGTGGCTTTTTTTGTGTTTTGTTTTTTATTTTAACTTGTTCAGTCTATTAGATATTTGATACTAATACCTAAATTTTAAGAAAAAATGTTTTATGAAATTAAAATACAATCATTTTGTAAAATATACACACAATGTTAATTATTGTATATTTTACGAACACATTCAGAAAAAAAAATATTGTATGTTCCATTTTATAATTCATGCCAATGGATTTTTCAGACAAATAATATGTTTATATCCTTGTACTTAGTCCAAAAAAATTATTTTCTTAGATATACTTTGAATTTTTGATCAAACATTACGTAGCTTAATTCAGCTTGTTTTCTGACTTCCTCTTAGTTTTAAGATCCGGTTATAAAATTATCTTAAACAAGATTTCATTACATATTTTAATTTTAGTGTATAATGTTTGTTTTGTCTTTCTCACTTTCTGTCGTATCTTTAAAGAGTCATTTATTTTTATGGTTTTAACTATTCTGTTATATACAATGTACGTGGTTACTTTTGTCACACATTACTAGAGATGATACTGTGGCATACATTGTTGTATATAAAGTTCCATTTATTACTTTTTTGATTTATGCTTCTCAAGAAGGACTATTATCAACCTGATAGCTTAGGCTTAATAAAAATTTTGTTCTTTCAATAGCCGATTATTGCTCATTTTCACACTTGAGCAGAGGAAAAACAAAAATGTATTCTAGATTTCATTTATCCAATGAAACATAATAATATTCAAAGTGTGGCCATTTTACGTTTTTATAAGAAAATATAAACACAATAAGCACCGAAAGAAACAACCTAATAATTCTATACTTTGCAGACATAATGGCGCCATTAGAATAGTTTTAATGGAATCGTATAATATTTATTAAAGATGTCCATATCTTGTTGGAGTGTTGTATGATGTTCATTGAGGAATAAGTGCGAATAAAGTAGTTTTGCCCAAATTACAAAGAAAATGTAAAATGCTTGATAGTTCACATAAAATCCTTTATATATTTATAGATTGACCAGTACAAAAATATAAAGAAACAATATCAAATATGATGGTTATTTTTGTTATTATAAATATATCTTACAACAGGCTTTAGTACAGTTACACAATACAAATTAATAATTTCGACACATTCGAATATAAAAAAACAAAACAAATGTAGTTACACCAATAGCATACTGTTTCACCACTAGATGGCAGGACACTACAGGTAAGAAGTTCAAGGGAATTAGATTATTAATGGCCATTATTAGTCTCAAAGTGGGTTCTTTGTCATCGAATTGGAATTAGATTATGTTGGAAAGATATATAACATCAAGATCATGACTACTT